TATGTACGGTAATTCAATTTGAACAGAACATAATCATTCGTTTTATGTACATTATGCACATGATATTTTAATCAATAGTAAAGTTTGCTTGGGCGGTGTGCCTTTGACAGGATAACCATAGAGAAAATAGAACACACGGAGTCGCTCTCTTATCAGAAGAAAACATGTAATTTGCCATAAAAACAAAACAAAAACAAAAACAGTAAAATTCACATTATTGAGGGAATTACTCATAAAACAGGCAAATTTCGTCTAATATTATTTTACTAGGACTCGAGAAATCCGAACTCTTGTCGTAATGCGTTTATTAGCCCATAGGCGACTATTGAGTATGGGCGACCGGGTCAAGAAGACGACTAGCGGACATTTTTGCACAATAAATGTGATAGATAAAAAGCATTAAAACATTAAATATGCGCGCTTTCGTTTTACTACTTTGTTAAATACAGGTATAATGATCAATGTTGGCGACGTTCAATCTGTTCGTTTGTCTCCATTGCTCATCAAGAACTTGAAACATTTACCTGGAAGGGGAATTTCCTCAGGGCATGACTGTTACTTTTCATAAGGAGGAGGGTGATTCTTTATATTAAAACACTTTCCATTATAAACGCCGTCGCCCAGGTGCATTCGCCATAATAGAAGTTCTTGTTTATCGTGCTCGGCTATCTCGTACTGAAGAAGTAATAAAAGAAGCTCGCTAAAGACAAATCTGTTCATAGACCAACTTGGTGCTGGTGCCACAAGAAACTCCACACCGCAGTTAATTCGGCCCCTAAGTGCGTATAAAACCTTCAGAGTGATCGATGTTCTACAGGTTGAATGTCATAAACGGGAGGTGAAAGATTTTCTGGGGGCCAAATTCATTAGGGGTATAGGTTAAGAAGACGAATTCACGGGGCCTAAATATATGTACCACCGGATTGAAGCCAATTTTTGAGATTTTATAAACCATTGTGGGAAGCATGGCTCAATGGTTAGCATCATAGTCAACACTATCAGAAAAGAGAAATCCAAGGTATCATGTCGGCAGATCAACGAGGTACTGAACCTCTAAGAGGACCTTCGCTATCAAACGATGCAACTGTGCAACAACAGTTTTCATTCAATATTAAGAGAATAAATCTTACAGCAAAGTAGTCCACAGAATCTGACTGACGAAATTATTATACTGATTAAAGGTCCGATAACTGCGGCAGAAGAAAAACATTGGAAATACATTGATAACTCACACGACGGATGTAAAAGGACAAAAACCGATGACTTTTAGATCAGAATCATTTGACCACAGAACCTCTGACTCTGAAGAAATTGAAGTTGACTAAAGTGTGAAATGACGCATAACCTTAAACTCTGTCCACAACATCAAATTTAATGTGACAACAGTGACGTAGCTAGGGGATGCGCGGAGGGGGGGGGGGCGCACGGCTCTCCAAAATTACTTGCCCCTCCACCCCCAGACGCTCCCGAAAATCACGGTCAAGTACTTAAAAATCACCTAAAATCACCTTATTTTGCGAGGTGACCCTCAACTGATCCAGGGGCGGATTTAGAGGGACCGGGCCGGCCCCTCCCTTTTGGAAAGTAAAAGAAAAAAGAAGAAAAGAAGAAGGAAGAAGAAGAAAAAAACTATC